AAAAGTGGTAATCTTTGCCATTAAAACTACTGAGGAACTTAGTTACAAAAAAACTCTGTATTATCAAATGCCCCAGAAGCAATTCTGGGAAGATATAAAACATACTTATTTGTGAGAATTTGTTTTTAAAAAAAAGGAAGATTTGTTCTGAGAAAGCAGTATCGTACCCTGCAAAGACAGCAAAAATGAATCAGGCTATGGTCTTGGTGGCTTTTTTCTAAGTATATTCATCTTTTCAAGGCGAGTGTTCAGGCAAGTATTCTGGGGAAAATGAGAGCTCCATGCGTGAATGATTCATTTTCTCATCATGTAAATTTTTCTTCAATGTGTTACCTCTGGGATATCAGTTTAAATGGAGAGTACAAAATGAATGCTCAATTGTTGGTGTTTTATAAAATCCTTCAAAGCCCTATGTTCAATTGAATAAAGATTTAGAGCTTAAGTTACCTATTTTATATTATGCTACACATTTTACCATATAAAGGGGTGGAAAGTTGAGGTTCACAAAACTAAGGGAGGGTCTACTTTCTACTACAGCCACTAGGTGACATGAGTCTAAAGTTGGGGATCCTGAGTGAACAGGAAGAATATGATCAGGGGACCGGAGTGACGGGCATATGTTCATCAATGTGGTGGAAGAAAGGAATGTGTTGCCAGAAGGATGAAAACAGGAAAGCCCCTTTCGTAAGGCAGCTTCTAAAACTGCTAGACACTCCATTCTTGTATCCAATAAATATTTGCTAAATTCCTACTCTATATATGCCAGACACTGTGCTAGGTATGGGGGATATAGCAAAACAGACACTGGTGATCTTGCCTGTACAACACTCAGAGTGTAATTTGTGGTGGGAGTATATACGGAAAAGTAAGCAAGTGACAGTCCCACACTGTCCAGCACTTACTAGGTTATGTTCGTGTGCTGTGAAAGCACAGAGAAGCGGCACTTAAACCCAAGAGGAAGAATGGAGGAAGGTATTCCAGAAAGAGACTTCATATTCATACATTACCACAAAGGCCAAGGGTGTCTGCCCTTCCTCAGATTAAACCGGTAACCAGAAATATGGTCAAGCCAAGAAAAAGCCATTTAAGAAATAAGGCGAGTTTATATGGAAGGAAATGTAGAAGGAAAAAAACATTTTGAACGTTGCTCCCTGTTTTCTTTATCGATCCACATACCACAAGTAGTTGTTGAAATAAAGTAACGGGAAAAAAGATGTAAAAAGGAGGAGACAATAATATAAACACTACCATCACCAAAACTAAAAGTAACACATCCCTATGAGCAGTGCCCCGGCTAGGACAGAACCTGACCAAGAGTAGATTTTCCAGATATGCTTATTCTGGTAATGAGAGTGCACACGGAGTTAAACTTTCAAGAGGATTTTTGCAACCAAATTCAGGAATCTTGTGCAATTCAGTCAGTCTCTGTCCAGGAATATATCCAAAGTATGGGGAAAACCCAAAGAGTTGCTGAATAAGTGTGTTAAACAAGTATTATTCATAATTTGGAAAAATGGAAATGGCCTAATGTACAGTAGTAGAAAACTGTTAATTACATATAATACATCGATATGATGGAATTTTGTGCAGTCATGAAAATTGAATTGGAGGCAACGGATCAGAACAAACAAATTCTTGCTGTGGGCTATGTCTTTCTTGGGGTGTACACTTTTGCAGCCAGAGCTAAAGCTCCCTTGTTTTCACATCATTACTTTCTCGCCCCCGCTTTTTTCCTAACCACAACCCTTCATATACACTTTTAGGCTTTTCTCTCCATTTATTTATCTTAGTAACAAACCCTAATTCATTCCTCTTCTAATTAATTTTCATAGTGGATATATTTCAAAGCAGGTTGTCATGACTTTGGAAACAAATTAAAAAAATTGTGTGTATGTATGTGCAGGCACACACAACTTGTACATGAAGTGGCTATGTAAAAATATACAGCTAACAGGCAACTATGATAACCCCTAGAAAAGAAGAGGACAGGATGACAAGAAAACTGAAGTAAAAGGAGGCTTCCTTTCACTGATTATTCTTTGGTACTAGTTTTAAATTAGTACCAAGACATAAACATTGTCTTAGTCTGTTCAATCCACTATAACAAAACCACACACCAGGTGGCTTTTAAACAACAGGAATTTATTTCTCATGTCTCCAGAGGCTGTGAAGTCCAAGATTAAGGCAGCAGCAGATTCCGTGTCTGGTAAGAGCCCACTTTCTGCCTCATAGACAGAGCCTTCTTGTTTTGTTCTTACATGGTAGAAGAGGTGGGGGAGGTCTCTCTCAGGCCTTTTTGTTGTTGTTTTTTGTTTTTTTGTGTGCTGGGATTATAGGTGTGAGCCACCACGCCCAGCCTCAGGCCTCTTTTATAAGGACACTAACCTCATTCATGAGGGCCTCACCCTCATTACCTAATCACATCCCAAAGGCCTCACCTCCTTTCAACATCCGTCATTTCAAAATCTGAATTTGAGGGGACACATGTGTTCAGCCTACAGCAAATGTACGATCTGGTCAATATATAAATAAACACATCTTGTAAATGGAAAGTAGAAATAATCTGATAGAATATGATCATTTTCATATAAGCAAGCATAGGTCTAGAAAAACGAAGCAATTGTGCCAAAGTCACATAATAAATTAGTGCAAGCGCTGATACGAAAAGGAAAAGGATCTGGCAGGGATAGAAACAAATTTACCGCCCGGGCGCGGTGGCTCAAGCCTGTAATCCCAGCACTTTGGGAGGGTGAGACGGGCGGATCACGAGGTCAGGAGATCAAGACCATTCTGGCTAACACGGTGAAACTCCGTCTCTACTAAAAAAAAATACAAAAAAACTAGCTGGGCGGGGTGGTGGGCGCCTGTAGTCCCAGCTACTCGGGAGGCTGAGGCAGGAGAATGGCGTGAACCCAGGAGGTGGAGATTGCAGTGAGCTGAGATTGCGCCACTGCACTCCAGCCTGGGTGACAGAGCGAGACTGTCTCAAAAAAAAAAAAGAAAGAAAAAAGAAAGAAAGAAACAAACAAACAAATTTACCGAGAATCTGGCATTTAATTATCTTAATACCGCTGAGAAAAACGTTTTTAAAGATGAAGAAATTGATGCTCAAAGACATCATGTAATGCTTAAGGTAACACAGCTGGTGAGGAGAAGCTCAGGTTCAAATTTGATTCTACCATCCAGTTCTCTGGGCTCTGCTCTTCTTGAGCCTTTATGCTGCTCTGCCCCTGTCAATCCCATAGCCAGCTAAATTCTGTGTTGTTTATCTAGTCCATGCTGTCCAAGACTCAATCCTCTCATTCTTTTGAATTCACCCTTATTAATCTGCACCATCACAAAGAGCAATACTATACATCCATTCAAACTTTACTCTTTCTAAATAGAAGAGAATCTTCCTAAAGGGAGACTCATAAGTCAACACATTTTCACAGCATTTCACATATCGTCGTTTTACAAAGAAATCTACTATTTATAATCTTGTTAAACCGAAAAGCAACTCTACCTTCCTTTATACAGTACCATTAGGCTGTGGGCCTACAAACCTGAGCCATGTCATTTCTCCCACCCTTTATTGGAAGGTGCAGCAGTCAGGGTTTCTGCAAAAATCAGATGATCCGCACAAAAACAGTAATTGAAAATACAACAGAGAAACTACTTGCATTCGTTTAAGCAAAAGTAGTTGGGAGAACCCACAAAGGGATGGTCAAGCTCTCTGAGTTAGCAACAGCAAGGAGACATTATCACTCCTTGGCATGAAGAGACGAGGGAGGGAGCAGTTATTATAATCCAGTAAGAAATGGGGCATTCAGTTACTGCCACTGTAGCCCAGCTGGGAGGAAGTCAGGTAAATAAATATCATAATATCACACTCCTACCCTTTGAAGTCCTCTGCTGATGTTGCCATTGGTCTAACCCAACTGAAACCAGAGGGCAAGGAGACCGGTTAGGGAATATCTCCCAGGATTCGGCATGAGGCGCCAAGGCGCAGAAGGTTGATCTATGAAACCATGCAAAAAATACCCCACATGGTTTCTGCTGCATGCAGCATTATACCACTTGGTGGTCATTCCCTCCACTGACTGACTGCTGTGTGGGTCTCATCTGACTACTGACTTGTAACACAAGGCTCTCTGTGGTTCTGAAATATTCTCCAGATCCATAACTGACCACCTGAGGCTGTGGACTTCTCCATCTTGAGATTTTGGTTTTTTTGTTATTGTTTTGAGATGGAGTCTTGCTCAGTTGCCCCAGGCTGGAGTGCAGTGGCATGATCTTGGCTCACTGCAACCTCCACCTCCTGGGTTCAAGAGACTTTCCTCCCTCAGCCTGCTGTGTAGCTGAGATTACATGCATGCACCACTGTACCTGGTCCCTACCTTGACTTTTGAAAACAGGGAAATGATTGTATGTGATAGTATGTGAAATAATTCCCAAATTCTGTTCTTCGTAACCTTGACATTTTCTATAAGTTCTTCCACCCAACATCGCTAAAACTCTTCAAGTCCAAGTCCCTGAAGCTCCACCCCACTATCTTAAGAGGTATCATGCATGCTGCTCTCTGGGTCCTAACACACTTCCCATGCACCTTCTGCAAAATGCTTCAAGAATTTCCCTGGTCATTTGGCCAAGGCCATCTCAACAAAAAATTCTGTATACTCCCTACCTACTTGCAAAAGTGCGACATTTAAAATTAGCCTTTGAAAAGTTGCACATAATTTCTGAGGACAGAATCAGATTTTAACATCCTAGGCCAGCTCACATTTGAAATGAAATCTTCCAGAGGCTGAGGGAGGAAGAAAGTGAGCCATAATGAAAAGCAGCCAGTACTGGAAATAAAGAGCCTGGATTTTAGTCACAGTTCCACTGCTGAGCAGCTAAGCGACCTCGGGGAAGGTACCTAAGCCTGAGTCTATCCTCAGAAATAGCGGGCAACTGAGTGAAATGATCTTCAAGACTTGCTGTGTGAGTATTCAATGCTCTTAAGAATATTTCTAAATTAAAGAACCCTTAAAATGGGGATGAAGAACCTGTTTGAGGAAAAATTCTATTTCTTCCATGTAACCAATGGAATCCAAATCACTTATGGGAGAAACAGTGTTTCTTTCCCGAGCATTGCCCTTTTCTCAGGAGAATGCATTTTTGTTCAAGATTTTCTTTAGAGCAACTTTGACGTCCTTATTCCTCAGGCTATAAATTAATGGGTTGAGCATGGGCACCACAGTGGTATAGAACAGGGAAGACACCTTGCCCTGGTTCATAGGTAAAATAGAAGAGGGTCTGAGATACACGAATGCTCCTGACCCAAAGAACAGAGAAACTGCAATTATGTGGGAGCTGCAGGTGCTGAAGGCTTTGGACCTGCCCTCCGTGGAACGAATGTGGAAGATGCTGGAGAGAATGAGAGCATAGGAAATGAAGATGGTGACGGTGGGCACACCAATATCGATGCCCACAACAACAAACACTACCAGCTCATTCACATAGGTGCTGGTGCAAGCGCGCTCGAGAAGGGGAAGGATGTCACACATGTAGTGGTTGACAAGGTTATTGGCACAGAAGGTCACACCCATCATGCATGCTGTGTGGGCCATGGCCCCAGCAAACCCCATCCCATAGACACCCAGCAAAAGGAGCAAACACACCTGGGGAGACATGGTGACCGTGTATAACAGTGGGTTACAGATGGCCACGTAGCGGTCATATGCCATCGCTGACAGGATGAAGGACTCAGAAACAACAAAGAAAAGAAAGAAGAAGAGTTGAGTCATACACCCAGCATAGGAGATGCTGTTCTTCTTCGAGACAAAACTCATCAGCATTTTGGGAGTGATAACACTGGAATAGCAGAAATCTATGAAGGACAAGTTATAGAGGAAGAAGTACATAGGGGTGTGCAAGTGAGAGTTGAGCCCTATCAGGGTTATCAAGCCCAGGTTCCCCATCACAGTGACCACATAGAAGCCTAGAAACAGGAAGAAGAGGGGGATCTGGACTCCCGGTTGGTCGGTTAAGCCTGCGAGGATAAACTCTGTCAGGAAGGAGGAATTCTCTGCAGCCATTTTCATTTAAGGCATTCTGTGGGGACAAGGGAAAAAGTTTAGAGAGAGAGAGAGACCACTGCTGCCCTCCCAGTCACCCTTCTTTCCTTCTTGAGAATAGGAGGCACACAGAGAGATTTTGAACTTCAGCAGAGGCGGCTTTGCTGCGGCTCCTCTGGAGTAGGCCCCCTCTCCATGGCCAGGGCAGGTGCTGCCGGGAAGGCCTCCCGTCTTTACTTTGATCCCTTTGCTGCGTCCTTTCAACTCCAGTTTCTATTTAAGTTTACAGACACTGGGACCAATCTCCAGGAAGAGTCCTCGCAAAGGCCAGACCCAGTCCACCTGTGCCTGGAGACTTAGGGTTAGGGTCATCCTGGACAGAGCAGAAGGGTGGGGTGGTCTTCCCCAGGACTTTAGTACTTGACACTGAGGACTCAGGAGAAGTTCGGACTGCTCATCCAGATTCAGCCACTCACCCTCTTCAGCCCAGAGCTTCAGTGATGTACCTTTTGGTCCAGCTCTTATCTTCACTTGTTCAGACAGATTGGCTGCGGAGATATCACAGATGAAACACTAAGCACCAGCCCGCTACGCCCTATCCCGATGGCAGCACTGGAGCCTCGGCTGCCTCAGAACTCTTTCTGAGCTACAGAACATGGCATCTGATGGAGGCTGTGCCCTGAGGCCTTTCTCTAGCTTGCAGAAAGGTGACAGCATCCTTACCATTATCAGTGACAGCCGATGATAGGAGACTGAGCAGTTTTATTTTGAGTTTAGAGATCTGGGGTACTGATTAGAAGTAGAACAGCAGAAGTTCACCTGGGATCACAGCCCGAAATATACCAAAGTTGTGCTCATACCCTTGATAATATTTGAATGGGCTTTTAGAAACATGCAAATATTTGCTCAATTAACATTTACTCAGAAATACACAAAGCGTTGTGCAAAAACAATAATTTACCATTTATTGCGCACTTAATGTATACTCAATGCTTTTTTCATCCTAGCATTATGCACTGACCTTAGCATGCCAGGATCCAATACCATTTTTCATATAATGCTTCATTTTAATTCTACCCCAAATTCTATGAGCTGGGTTTTATCACCCTCATTTTAGAGATGAAGTAACTCCCTAAATGTTACATTACAAGGCCATATTACAACTAGGTTCATCTTACTCCAGATTTGGTGTTCTTAATAACTGAGTTTAATACCTCCCTGTAGAAGATAATGAAGTATGTAAAGCCCAGTTCTTGCCTTCAAGGCTCTGACCATGTCTTGAAAAAGACGCTAGAACACACATAACTAAGCAAAAGCATGCGATAACATCCAGAAAAGGTGAAAACAAAATGCTAGGCCACTCTGGTGGAAGACATTCAACCTATCATTTATATTTCAGTTCACTGCTGAGCTGCACAATACCCAGTCCAGAAGACAAACCAACCTGTCTTTCCTTGGAATTTGAGCTTTACAGTAAAAATCAATCTCCATTGGTTAAGAAGAGTTTTTTTCCAAAATTGCTAACTTGTTGGGGCTCCCCTAGATGGCCCCTGTCCTCTATCGTTGCTCTTTCCAGTCTTATTTTCAGCTTTCCTCAGGCTCCCATCCCCTCATCGTGAGCCTGAAGGCCTTGTAGTTTGATTCTCCTTCGTCCCACGGGGTATTTGCTTTCTTGTTTTGCTTGCTTTGCTCTTTTCATAACTTCCCTCTCTTATTACGAAAGTCATCCCTTCTGTGTCCCAGCCTCTCAGAGCCTTGCCTGAGCTCAGTGACAGCTAATTATCATTCTTGGAGCCCCATACATTTGAATCAATATTTAAAAATCATCTGATCCTGTGGTTCATAAACCTGGCTGTGCAATTGAATTAGATAACTCCATGCTTATTAAAAGTATGGATCCTGCTGCCCCATTAGCATCCCGAGGCATGGGGTTTTATAACTTGTATTTCTCACCCTGTTGATCTGGGTATTTAGACAGGTGTGGGGTTCTCTGGCCTAATCCTCTACCCTGTGTTTTCTAGGCAGGAAAGTTGAAGTCCACCAGTTAGAGTTGGTTGGTGGTGGAGTCCAGAATAAAACTTGGGTCTCCAATCTTTCCAGTTACATTGTCTGGAAGAAATTCACCTGGCCTTTAGTGTGGCTGGAATGTAGAGTACAGGAAGGGATATAATTGTGTATCAACACTGGAACAGCATCCCAGGTTCCTACTGTGGAGAGACTTGAATGTCATGACAGAAATTATGTATGCAATGTGAATCCATTACACCCCTGGGAGCCAGTGGGTAAATGTCTCCCTTTTCTGTATCTCCAGTGGTTCTTTCCTCTTAGTACATCAAAAGACCTCAGAGGAGCTAATCCTAAATTCCCCATTAAGGTAACATATAACAGAACGTTTTATTGGTTTTCCATACTTCTGTGTTTTTCTCCCTCTCTTCCCTGGGATGACCTCTAAAAATAAGCTATCTGCAAGCAAGGCCTTGTCCCCAGCACAGCTTTTTGTGGAAATCCCAGCTAAGGTACTCCTAAAACAGTATTTGGAGCAGGTTTCAACAAAATGTTCCTTACTTCACCTGGGAGGAAGCATCCTCACCCAAGGCTCTTTGATTCCAGGACAAGAAACTAAATATGAATCACTAAATTCATCAAGGACCTGAAATTATTCAGCACCATGTTACAGAGAATTTTTATGTCTTGAGCATGACCTATCAAAATGCCTAAATACCAGAAGGAGTAATCTCAAATAATTATCGCCTCACACCTTGATAGGGATTAGCCACGACAAATCCTGTGGTACTTTGTTCTTAGATCTCTTGTAGCTCTACTCACAATGTATTACTGTCCAATCCCTCCATGAACTATAGCGATGCTAGGAATGTTGTAGTTTTATTCACTTTTTTATCTTTAAATCATATAGCTCGCAAAATGCTCATTAATCGCTAATTCTCAATCTCCTCATCTGTAAAATGGGGACGATGGTGATAATTCACAGTGTTGTTGTGAGGGTTAAATTAAATCTTGAAAGTGGAAGAGCCAAGCAGAGTGGTTGACAAATGAAAGAGCCCTGATAAATGCTATAGAAAATAGACATAAACAAATATGAAATGTATATATTCTAGGAATGGCGTGAGGGAAAGAAAAATCTTGCTTAAAGCTAGATGAGCCTGAAAGAGGCAAGATAGGGTCTGCCATAGGGCAGAGGAAGAGAGCTGACAAGAGTGAGAGGAGCTTTGGAAAAATACACTCTTCAGACTTTAAGGCCTGTCTCTCCAACATAACCCAATCCACAGACAATATCAGGCCCTTGAGTATATAACCCTGTCCCTACTCGCTGTCCTATCACCAATGCCTGTTTTTCAAATATCCACATTCCACCACACCACAAAAGCCAAATTCCAAAATCAGGTAAGGGTTTCTTTACAGTCTCCCGTTTTCTCTTCCTATACCCATCTCTAGTCTCCTAGTCTTAGCAAAAATTCCTCTTCCCCAGCATTCACAATCTTAGTGCTTACTTTCCTTCAATTCTATGTCAAAACTAAGTTTTCAGGAAGAATCTCACAAATGTATCCGCACACAATCTACTAAAACTTGCTGGCGGGCGCCTGTAGTCCCAGCTACTCGGGAGGCTGAGGCAGAAGAATGGTGTAAACCCGGGAGGCGGAGCTTGCAGTGAGCTGAGATCCGGCCACTGCACTCCAGCCTGGGCGACAGAGCGAGACTCCGTTTCAAAAAAAAAAAAAAAAAAAAACTTGCTGGGGACAATCCACATTCTTCACCTTCCTCCAGGCAGTTTTTAAAATGAAGACAAAGTCTTTAGCCAAAAAAAACAAAAACAAAAACAAACCAAAAAAAACATCTCTAGTTATGAAATTTCAAACAGCACTCAGTTAATGAGAGGTACATTTTGGTCAGGATAAGGCAGCTGAAGTGGTGGCATCACAATTAGAACCCCATTGGCAGCTGTCTGACCTCCATGCATCAAGTTGATTACCACCCTTCTCTCAGTCCTGTGTGTGTAGTGTGTGTCTATGTGTGTGCACGTGTGTGTTTTGTGTATAAGTGCTGGGTGACATCTGAACATACCTCAGAACTTGCCCCTCTGCCACATGTGGAATATATTTTAGTCACTGCTCAGAAACAAGAGGCCTCAAGTGTGACTCTTATACCTAGAAATTTGCCGCTCCCTCAGTGATTATAAGAAACCTCAATCCTTGCTCTCATTCCCACTGTAGTTAACTCACAGTTTAAGAAAATAAGTCATTACTACAAGCATGAAATGAGTCCCACAGGAAAGGTGCTCCTTAGGGCACAGAAAGCAAAGACTCCAGCTTCATTAAAAGTTGACTTTCCTCCGGGAGCCTTAGAGGATTCTTGTTTGGATGATAGAACAACCAAGAAAAGTTCTTCTGGATGTATGTCATTTTAAAGCCTGTTGCCATGGAAACTACGCTTCAAAATCCTCTCAACTGGGGCTTTACTAAAGTCTTGTTCCCTGAGGAGCAGATGAAGCCCAAGCAGGAAGCAGTGTAGGAAGAACTATTCTTAACTCTGTTCCTTTTGTTACAGAACTGCCCTCCTTCCAAAACTTGAATTTCTGTATAGTGCTTCTTTGTTTTATTTATTTCTATGTTTTCCTATCTTTTTAAAATTACATTCTAATTTGTGTGATTTCACATGAATATGAGTCAATACAATGTTTCTCACACACATTCATTAACCTTCAGACTTCTGGTGGCACAAGGTTGGACCCAACTGCAGCAACCATCACAACACACCAAGAAGACCAAGTCCAAGTTTCATAAGAAGTTATAAGAAGTTACAGAGCCCGATCAGAGAAAAAAGATGGCAACTGAAAGGTCTTCATTTGAAATGGCCTTCATTCGCTCCTGAGAAAGCAATCTCAGCAGTAATCTGTTTCTGCATTATACTTCATCTCACTTTGCTTTTCTTATTTTCAACTCATTGATACACAAACCTATGCATAAATTATACGTGTATTTAATATAGAATTCTAGAGTTAGATGGGACCTTGGAGGTCTATGTCGGGGAATAATTACCATGTATAAACACATATGTACCAACCACTGTGTAGGAAGTTTTATATACATTATGTCATTTGTAGAATATGAGTAATCTGCACAAAGTACAAAGCTGACATTTTAAAAAATATCACCCAATGATATTTTAGTATCATTAGTACTAAGAATACTAATACTAGTACTAATGTTATACTTTGTAAGTGCTGACCATGTGCTGGGAACTATGCTAAATGCTTTACACCTATTAATGGCATTCATTTTCACAAGTTGTATTACATGGGCACTTTTATTATCCTACCCTGCACAAGAACATTTCCTTGAATTAAAGAAATCAAATCTGTTTATCTGTTAGTTGTGACAACCTTGTCTCTTTAGGCCTCGAGTATTTGTAGTGATAGAGGATTAATAGATTTGCTAGATTAATGGTTATAAAGAAAGAATCGAGAGGGAAGGCCAAGTGTCAAAGTTT